GAATAAAATATGGAAATAAATAAAAGTGTTACATTCCATCAAAATTATTTGTTCTGCTAAAAATAGCAATAGCACTTAGACTTATATACCGCTTCATAGTGCTTTTACAGCCCTCTCTAACCGTGGTGAAATGTAAAATTTGTTACTACCGGTTCTGTGGGTGTGGCTTGGGGGGTTAATGTGACTGGGTGGACGTGGCCAACTTTTTTTTTTTTACTTTTAAAAACATTTGGGTTGCAGAAAAAAATGCTTTTAAAGCCTCTAACGATCAGGCAACTCAGCTGGGATCGTCAGAGGCTTTTAAAGGCATTTTTTTTCCTACAGCCTCTTCTGCTGAAGAGGTTGTAGAAAAAATGCTTTTAAAAACCTCTGACGATCCCAGCTGAGCCGCGCGATTATCAGAAGCTTTTTTTTAACTTTTAAAAGCATTTTTTCGGCCAAAGGTTGTAGAAAAGATGCTTTTAAAAGTAAAAAAAAAAAAAAACCTCTGATGATCGTGTAGCTCTACTGGGCATGGGGGACGGGGGCAGGGATTTTTGCTACCGGTTCTCCAAACCACGAGCCACCATCACTACCAGATCGGGCGATCTGGGTCCAAACCGGGGTCACCCCTGCTCTCTAAGCGGTTTACAGAGTCAGCATATTGCCCCCAACAATCTGGCTCCTCATTTTACCCACCTCGGAAGGAGGGAAGGCTGAGTCAACCTTGAGCTTGGTGAGATTTGAACTGCTGAATTGCAGCTAGCAGTCAGATGAAGTAGCCTGCAGTACTGCACTCTAATCATTGCGCCACCTCGGCTCTTACAAGTTTGTAAGAAAGTTTGATTAATTTTTTCTTTAGGGAAAAAGTAATGAAGTATTCTATTGTATGTGGATTAATACCTGTCCTGACTGGAAATATCTTTGTATCTTTCTTTTAGGCCCAGGATTTGAATGTGATTGAAGAAGTCATTCGAATGATGTTAGAAATAATCAACTCCTGCTTAACAAATTCCCTCCATCATAACCCCAATTTAGTGTATGCCCTGCTATATAAGCGGGATCTCTTTGAGCAATTTCGAACTCACCCCTCTTTCCAAGATATAATGCAGAACATAGATCTGGTACGTATTTAATATCCTCTGTGAAAATGCTATTTACAATTGAAAATAGCTACTTTTATTTGGTATAGAATAGATATAGATATTCACACATAAGATATACAATTCTTCCATTATAACAGTTGCAATGCCCAAGTTCCTGATAGATCCATCAAAAAGACAAGTCTAGATTATTCCCACTCCATAAATAGATGCATGTCATATTCTTGTATATCTGTGTGCCTCTGTGTGGGTGTGGGTGTGCGTCTGTCAGAGGCCACACTCTAAAAACATTGGAGCCAAGACAACTAAAAAACAAAAATTCAATTCCTCACAGGTAAGTTTTGTGCGGAAAATAGGAGGCAGGAGTATTAGCAGTGGTGGGTTGCTACCGGTTTGGCCCGGATCAGACGAACTGGTAGCGGCGGTGGTGGGAGGCTCCACCCACCCGCCCGGACGCTTCTGCACATGCACAGAACCGTCGAACGAGCAAACGGATAGTGACGGGATTTGAAACCCACTACTGAATATTAGGTATGGTTGGCCTCATGAGCTGGCCAAAATATATAAAAATACCAGTACAAAAATCTAATAATAATAATAATAATAATAATAATAATAATAATAATAATAATAATAATAATAATACAGCAGCCATTTTTTCTGGAGATAGATCCTTTATAGGCAGAAAACCACAGATGCATAGAAATAAATACACTTGGGCCTCTTGTTCCTGCTAAACAGAAATAATCCCCCCCAAATGTGGGAAAACAGTCATTGGAAAGGAAAGCAATTAGAAACAGAGAAGGGAAGAAAATGAATGAATGAATGAATGAACGAATGAAAATATGGCAAGAGGAAGATGTAATTGCATCTGGAAGGAAAGAAAAAAAATAGAAAACTCTTGCAAAGAGTTACGACTGGAATGCTACATAAAACATAAAAACAGGCAGGTTGCCAAGCCCTCAAATTTTGGTCACATGCGCGTAGGGATGCTGCGATGGTCATAACTATGAGAACCTTTTTCAGTGCCACCGTAATTTTGAAAGGTCGCTATATGAATGCTTGTAAGTGGGAGGGCTACCTTGCAGTTCTATCCCTATCAAGTATAAACTTGTGATCTTGTTTTTTATAGGCCAATGGGAAAAGAATAGTAAAAGAATATTAACTCCTAAAGACAGACAGTAATTTAAAAAAACCAAAACTGATGGTGGACTTCCTTTTATTGGGTTTGTCCAGATGGAGGCTGATGGGGATGTTTGTTTTTTTTTGTTTTTTTGTTTTTTTTTTTGGATTTCTGCATTATGCTAGGGTTAGACTTGAACACCTTAAATAATTTCTTCCAACTCTGTGGCTTTGATTGCCGATGAGCAGTTCATGGGCACTGTCCAAAGATTGGGAAAAAATGGAAGTTCTGCATTTTGACTAACAAACTATTAAACCAAACACAGACAGAAGAAAAAGAGAAACACAGAAAAAAATAGAGATAGTCTTCCACATACAACGGTTCATTTAGTGACTGTTCAAAGTTACAATGGCACTGAAAATAGTGACTTGCGACAATTTTTCACACTTATGACCATTGCAGTATCCCAGTGGTCGTGCGATGTACGTTCAGATGCTTGACAACTGACTCATATTTATGACAGTTGCAATGTTCAGGAGTCATTTTGCGACGATCAACTGCCGTGATTCACTTAACAAAATGTGACAAGAAAAGTCATAAAATGGGACAAATTTTGGGCTCAATTGTGGTCATACATTGAGGACTACCTGTTTGCAAATTCAGGCATTAGTTGCTCTGTAATGGCCATTACCCAGAATAGAATAACAATAAGATTTATTTAAGAATTTAACACCAGTTGTCTGCAATTAAAGTAAGTTCGAATCTTGCCAGGCTCAAGCTTGACTCAGCCTTCCATCCTTTCTAAGATAGGTAAATTGAGGACCCAGTTTGTGGGGGCAATAAGCTGACTTTGTATAAAAAATATACAAAAAGTATGAAGGCTATTGCTTAATGCACTGTAAGCCGCCCTGAATCTCTGGAGAAGGGTGGCATATAAATCAAATTAAAAAAAAAAAAAAGATTCTCTCTAGTCTATAAACCCTAAAATAAGTTTTATTGGACTGAATATCATTGGGGCTATAGAACTTCTGTTATTTCTTTCTGTCAAATGGCAGGCCTGGGAAAAGGTCGACTTTACGACCACAATTGAGCCCAAGATTTCTGTTGCTAAGTGAGACAGTTGTTAAGTGAGTTTTGGGCCATTTTAAGACATTTCTTGCCACGGTGCTGAAATGAATCACAACAATTGTTAAGTTAGTAATATGGCTGTTGAGTGAATCAGACCTCCCCATTGACATGGCTTGTCAGCAGGTCTCAAAAGTGGATCACATGACCCCAGAACAAAACAACCATCATAAATAATTGGCATCATAAATGCCAATTGTCTGGATTTTGATCATGTGACCATGGGGGTGCTCCAATGGTGGTATGAACAACTGTCATAAGTCGCTTTTTTCAGTGCCGTTGTAACTTTGAATGGTCACTAAATGAATGGTTGTAAGTCGAGGACTGCCTGTGAAAGATTTTCATTGTCATGGGACAATTAGGGTTCAAGATTATGCAATCTGTAAAAGTGAAGCTTTCGAAGAGATCAGAAATATCTTTACTGGATGTGAGGGTAATGGAATTTACTAGGCCGTATTTTGACAAGCCTCTTCACTGCCAAATGCCATCTTTCGTCTCCCTTTAAGATCTCCCACTAAAATAGTCCCTAGGTGTTGCATTTGTTTCTCAAATTAACTGTTCATCTACTACAACAGTGTCAAACTTTCAGCGTCACGCTGTGTGACGTTTTTCCCATTCACGGAGCTGGGTGGGTGTGGCCTGTGCGTGACGCACCGGCCCTGTAGGCCGCCAGCTTGATATCCCTGATCTACTAGATTTATCAATGTTTTTGTATTGTGCTTTTCATCCTGCAAGAAGTTACCATTAAATTTTTTTATAGAAGTGGCACATGAAAGTTGCTCACATAGAATTTAAATATTTTTTTTATAATGTGAGAAGCCTACTTTGGCAAAAATGCCTCCACATTTCCTTGCAGAGAAATGAGAAAAGATCAGATGTAGTTAATAATGGTTCAGATTGCATTGGCTTTAGAGCAGGAGAGGATATTTCTTTATTTCTTGCTGCTTTGATATGAAAATACGCTGCTTTAACCACTGAAGGGCACCAAAAGAAACATATAAAAAATAATCGAGACACATTTTAAAATAAATATGAGCAAAAAAATTGCTCTTCCTCCAGCCAAACTCTCTTGGAAAATAGTGTTATTTTATTACAAATACAGTTGTGAACATCAGTTTATTGGAAGAAATAAATCCATGCTTATTTATTCAATAAGCTCAGAGGAATTGTAACAGACAAAAATAAATTTTAACGCTCTCAAAAAGCTAATCAGCAAATATAACAATAATTGGAAAATGCTGGATCTACGCTAAATGTTGGAAATCAGAATTTATTAACAAATTCTTGGCAAAGACGTTTCAATGATGCAGTTTGTCAGTTGTCATTATTTGATCAGCTGAATTTATAGATTTTTTTTCCTGAAGAGCTGTTCAACTATGTTTTCATATGCATTTGCTTAAAATATTTTCTCCAAAGTTTTCATCAAGTGATCAGCATGGGAGGTTTACATCGAAATAAAAGTTGTTATATTAAAGCCAACATAGGAACAGTATTACAGTCCTGAATAACAGAAAAACAAAAGAAAAAGTAATAATATTAGTTATTCTTGCCAGGCCTTGCAAAGTCCTGTAAAAAAAAATATTTTGTTAAAAATTTTGAGTTGCTTTCCAAAACCCATTATTAGGGAAACCCAGTGTGTATATGATAAGCACATATCATACCTATGGTTGTAAAAGTTGGATCTTAAAAAAGGAAGACAGGAAGAAAATCTGTGGTATTGGAGAAGGCTCCTGCGTATTCCTTAGACAGCAAAGATGATTAACAAGCAAGTGCTAGAATGCATCACTCCAGGCATTTTCACTAGAAGGAAAAATCACAAAACTGCATCTCACTTATTTTGGCGATGCCATGCAGGGGGATTCACTGGAGAAAGCAATTATGACTGGAAGAGTTAAAAGGAAAATGGTGATTGGACATCATCAAAGCTGACACCAGCCAGAGCAGGGGTCTCCAACCTTGGCAACTTTAAGCCTGGAGGATGTCAACTTCCAGAATTCCCCAGCCAGCTTTGCTGACTTCTGGGAGTTGAATTCTGGGAGTTGACGAAATTTGGGAGGAATTCCGGAATTCTGGGAGTTGACGTCCTCCAGGCTTAAAGTTGCCAAGGTTGGAGACCCCCTGAGCCAGAGCATCGAACAATTCAAAGAAGTAATACAGGATCAGAAGACATGGAGAGACCTGGCGCATAGGAATCGCCAAGAGTTGAATGCAATTGAATGAACACCATCGTCATCATCATCATCTCACAACTGGGAAGATCTTCTCCTGAGTAGCCACCAACTATGCCCTGGACGATGAAAAAGACGAAATGAAATTAGGGTTTAGGATTGTCAAGATATGTTGGATGGGACTATTTAAGACTTTAAACATCAACATCAGCATTTTACATCAGACCTGGAAGCTAATAATGTACAGAGCAGATTAATCTTTCTGGTCAAGGTTGATTGCCCAGCCATAAATCTAATTTGTCCTAGAACATACAAATAATTATTACAGAAGTAGGGCATGAATAAAAGGCCAGATGTGCCTCCCTTCCTGATACAGGGTTTAATGAAGTCCCTTCTGTTACCTTCTGGATTGTTCTGACCTAGGCTTTCCCAAAAAGCACGAAGCAGAATCCTGGACCCCCTTTTATTAAACAAACAGTGAACTCCTCTCATTCACCTTCAGCAAAGGCCTGGCAAATAGTCTTTCAAAGGTGAATTTATGACCACAGACCTTATCTAGCTTGGAAAGCTGCCATGTAAATATTTTCCAAACGCAAGGAAAGGAGGTGCAAGGAAAGACTCGGCACAAAGTCTTTGAGATTCACGGACAGATCTTCAGACTCCTGAAACGACCGAATGGACAAATTGGTTCCTGCAAAAGCCCACTCCCCTTTCGCTCCTCTTTTATTCCCTCTCGTATGGGCCATTCATCGTCCACCTGTGGCCTTACTCCCAAGTCGACCCTTCTTCTTTAGCTGTTCCCTTCATCAGGCAACTCTGTGCATGCGCACACTGGGAACAGGCTCCAGCTGTTCATCTGCCTCACTGATGTCTGACTCCAAAGGCAGCTGATCACTGGCATCCGGCCCTGGCCCCCTCTCTGCCTCTGATGCAGAGCCCTCATCAGAGCCTTCCCCAGACTCCAGGACTGGCCCAGGTTCCTCCCCAACCTCCTCACTGTCCGAATCTGCTGCCAGCTCTGCTGGCTGCTGGCGGGCCACAACATGGATATCAGCTATTGTTCTGTTGGAAAAAACAATGGAATACTTACTCCCAGTGTTCTATTTTGTGATGATTTGGACAAGACAAGTGGGCAGCCACCTTTCCCTGTCTCACCAAGCACAGGTATCCCAGCTGCCAGTTGTCAATTGGACAGCTGCCTCTTGAAAAAAGAATTTTTGGGAGAACCATGACCTGAATGACTGTGAATCTCCATAGACACTTAGCTATGCACTTTGGGAATGAACACCACAGGATGGTTGCACATCACCTACCTTGAGGCTTTCAGCAGCAAAGGCCCTAGAAGTTACGTTCTCTGCACCTGTGAGGTAGCCTTCCCTAAAGAGTGGAGTTGCAGGCAAAGCAGAGTGGATCTTGCTAGCAGTAATGAAGGAATGTCAACCGGATCAGCTCCACCCACCTTCTCCTTGAGAGGGAAGGATGGAGAACAGAAGAAAACAATGAAAGAGGAAGCCATCTCAAGGAAGAGAGGGACAGGGATTAGGAGGACATCCTTTTCCTTGGAGCTCAACTGACTGACTCAGCTGGCCCAATAGTCTTCCTGTTCCCCATCACAGATTTTATTCTACGGGTAGTCCTCAACTTACAAACATTTGTTTAGTCATTGTTCAAAGTTAACAACGGCATTGAAAAAAGTGATTTATGACCATTTTTCATGCTTAACCGTTGCAGCGTCCCCAAGGTCACGCGATTGACGCACGAGTTACCAGCAAACTCTTTTTTGAAGTGACCTCTGATAATGAACTTCTTCCATGGTGCCTCGGTGGTGTTGTGCCTCGCCATCTTCTTTCCTTCCTATCTTTTTTTTCTTTTAAATAAGGCTCATGCCCATGCGGCGCATCTTGGAATCCTTTGTCTCCTCATGAGGAAAGGTGTTGGAAAACCCCAGAGAACAATCCTGCCTCTGCCAGAACACAATGGAGATTGTTTTGCCAAACTAGGATGTAGAACCATCCTTGAGTTCTTCAGTAGAAGGAACCAAATGAGAGACTTCACAGCAGAAGCAAGATAGGAAATGGAGTTCTTCCAAGTCTTTTAAACTCAATAAGACAGTGGTGGCAAACCTTTTACGCACCGAGTGCCGAACAGGTCCGTGCTCCGTGAGCTTTGTGCGTGCACGTGCCATCCATGCTAACACGCGGCTCAGTGATGGATTTATACTGGTTCGCCCTGGTTCAGGTGAACAGGTAGTGGCGGAGGCGGGAGGCTCTGATACGAGGTTCTGCGCATGCACAGAAGCACTGCGCATGAGCAAAGCAAGCGTGCACGCATGCGCAGTCCTGATTCTGAACCAGTAGCGAAGATAAGTGGAACCCACTACTGGCATGGCTTCTTCCCCATGCACTGTGTGCACAACCGCATCATCTGCACATGCACACAGCTTTCGTGCACGCCCCCACCATGCGCTGGGCACACAACCACACCATCTGTGCATGCACATGGTTTTCGTGCACTCAATGCACATGGTCAAACGCCACCTGTGCATGCATGCACTGCACACCAATACTCTCATGCACATGCGCAAATGTGCACGCATGTGCAGCAGAGTTCCAAAGACCAGCTGGGTCCCCTGAATTGCACACATGCGCACCGGAGGCCCAAACACCAGTTGGGGCATGCGCGCATGCGCAGCTGCAGGTGACTTGGTCGACAGCTCGCGTGCCCGGAAGAATGGCTCTGAGTGCCATAGGTTCTCCATCCCAGCAATAAAATAAAAAAATGGCCAAAGCATCTTGCCCAATCTGATTGTCTCCACAACAGGGTACAGCCAATAGCTAAACTAGAGGTTGTCTCTAAGTCTTAAGCTACTCCTCAGTACAGGTGGATCTCATTTTACATCCTTTTATTGACCGTTTGAAGTTACAACGGCACTGAAAAAGTGACTTATGACTGTTTTTCGCACTTACGACTTGCTTTATCCCCATAGTCACATGATCATAACATGGATGCTTGGCAACTGGCATGTAGTTATCACCTTTAGAGTGCTCCATGGCTTAGGACCTGGTTATTTACGGGACTGCCTGCTACCACCAATAGCCTCCCACCGGCCGGTACGCTCTCATAGAGAGGGGCTCCTCTGGGTGCCGTCGGCCAAATAATGTCGACTGGCGGCCCCCAGGGGGAGAGCCTTCTCTGTGGGGGCACCTACTATCTAGAATGAGCTCCCCCCGGAGATACGGAGGATCCCGGATCTGCGCACCTTCCGTCGCGCTCTCAAGACTTTTTTATTCCATCAAGCCGGCCTGGCCTAAATCTTTCCCCTTTAAAATGTAAATTTTAATTTGTTTTTAAAATTATTGGGTGTTTTAAATTTGTCTCGGCCAAATTGTTTAATTTGGTTTTATTCTGTTTTTAAATTTTGTATTTATGTGTTTTATTCTGTGGCTGTTCACCGCTCTGAGTCCTTCGGGAGTAGGGCGGTATACAAATCCAATAAATGAAATGAAATGAAATGTATTTATGACAGTTGGGGTATCCCGGGGGTCATGTGATCACTTTTTGCGACCTTCTGGCAAGCAATGGGGAAGCCAGATTCACTTAACAACCAAGTTACTAACTTAACAACTACAGTGATTCACTTAACAATGTTGCAAGAAAGGTCACAAAATGGGGCAGAACATATTTAACAACTGTCTTGCCTAGCAATTGGGCTCAATCATGGTTGTAAGTCAAGGACTACCTATAAAACAAAGGAATCCCTTGCTGAAGAGATTTTAATCACCCCTGTTGCTGTAGAAGAGAGCAAGGAAGACTGATCATTTTCATGTCTCTCTCTCTCTCTCCATGGTCTTCAAACGATGCCGAGAAAAAAAACCAACAGTAGAAAGATCCACCATGCATCTTATATTCCTAAAGCTGTGCTTAATGTTATTTGCAGAATACACGAATTACGCTTGCTTAGATTTGTGGGTTTGAGCTGTAACAGCTCTAATATTGTGCAGATAAAAAACATCTGGGTCACTTAGTAACCAAGGCTAGTATGAATTCTGTTTTCATTTATTGCTGAAGTCTGTTCCAGAACTACGGTAAATGGACTCCTTTTCTGGCGAACGTGATAGGTTTCTTCTTGCAGGCGGTTGCAAAAGCTGGACTGAAGTCATGCGTGTTACAGAAAGTTGGCTATTTCTTTTGTTATATCGAGAATTTTCCTACTAGATTAATCGATCTGATAAACAACAAGAACAAAAGTTCTGTGAGACTAGAAGGGAAATCTAAATAAGTGCTGAAGAACGATCAACCTTTTGCTACCTTTGTCAGTTGTTCACTTTTGTGAAGTCTTTGTTGTTGTTAGTTGCAAAGTCGTGTCCGACCCATTGCGACCCCATGGACAACGTTCCTCCAGGCCTTCCTGTCCTCTACCATCCTCTGGAGTCCATTTAAGCTCAAGCTGACTGCTTCAGTGACTCCATCCAGCCACCTCATTCTCATTCTTCTTCTTCTGCCCTCAATCGTTCCCAGCATTAGACTCTTCTCCAGTGAGTTCTTCCTTCTCTTTAGGTGGCCAAAGTATTTGAGTTTCATCTTCAGGATCTGGCCTTCTAAAGAGCAGTCAGGGTTGATCTCCTCTAAGACTGACCGGTTTGATCGCCTTGCAGTCCAAGGGACTCGCAGGAGTCTTCTCCAGCACCAGAGTTCAAAGGTCTCAATTCTTTGGCGCTCAGCCTTCCTTAAGGTCCAGCTTTCACAGCCATACATTGCAACTGGGAAAACCATAGCCTTGACTATACACACTTTTGTTGGCAGGGTGATGTCTCTGCTTTTTAGTATGCTGTCTAAATTTGCCATAGCTTTGCCATGAAGTCTTTATGTACTCACAATGCAGAGATATTATTTTTAAATGATCAATGGTGATTTAACAGGAGCTGCTGGTTTTAAAACGAGGGAGATGTTTATCCTGAGCAGGTACTACAGATAGTCCTTGACTTACAACTACAATTGAGTCCAAAAATTCTTTGCTGAGCAACTCAGTTGTTAAGTTACTTTTGCTCCATTGTACAATCTTTCTTGCCACAGTTGTTAAATGAATCACGGCAGTTATAAGTTAGTAACGTGGTTGCTAAGTGAATCTGGCTTCCCCATTGACTTTGCTTGTCAGAAGGTTGCGAATCACATGCCCCAGGACACTGCAAGTATCATGTGTGTGTGTGTGTGTGTGTGTGTGTGTGTGTGTTTTTCCTCTAGCCAGGTTTTTCCTATGTAACCAAGGTAGCCAAGGAAAAACCTGGCTAGAGGAAAAAAACACACATAAATCCTACAAAGAAGTAATAAATAAATAAATAAATAAATAAATAAATAAATAAATAAATAAATAAATAAATAAGTCAGTTGCCAAATGGCTTAATTTTGATCACATGACCACAGGATGCTGTGATTGTCATAAGTGTGGGAAAAAAGGTTTTACATGACTGGCTCAGGAATTCTGGGAGTTGAAGTCCACAGGACATAAAGGGGCCATGGTTGCTGAGGGAAGTCACCCCTCCTAGAAGAATGAAATATTTTGAGAAATATTAAAAAGACAGAATATTATATTTCCATAAAGGAGAAACATGCTCTTGGAAAGCAGCCCCAGGGTGATGGGATTTAAG